TTTAGTCTTAGTTTTAGTCTATTGGTTGCAATAAATACACTTTTGTCTGTATTTTGTTTAACCAGCCGTATTTATATAATGTATAGTTTCAGTAGATAATCTTTTCCAGAGTGATTAACAAGCTGACGAGGTTTGTGTAGGCCATGCAGCTGCAGAGAGGCCCATGGAGGATGCGGTTCCATAAAGTTGCAGAGCATGCTCCAAAAATAGTCATATAAATGGACAGGAACCAGGGTAAAGGGAAGAAAAGGGAAGTGGAACTCCAAATCGGGAACCAAAGCCTCTCAGGCCTCTACATGAGTTCTGATGTAGAAAGACAGCTAGCTACCTACAAGTATTTTTTTTTCATTATTGTTATTTTTGAATGTATCAAAGCACAAAAAGTTTAGAACATTCTGCATTCTATAGAGAGATGTACAGTTCAATAAAACTAGCGCAGATGATTACCACTTCTGGGAACTTTTTGAACTCAGTGAGCCTAAAATTCCTGGAGATGGGTTTGGGGCCTGGACCTGTTGGCAAGGATATTAAGCACGTGCCATGGTTTGATAATGACTAGGGAGGACACACAGGGTTGTTGATTGACTAGTGGCTGAGTCGCACAGCGTCCTTGTTTGCTAGGATGAAAGTGGGCGCACCTTAACAACCTATGACACTGTGGGGCTGTCTGTGTCCTAGCAATAAATGGTAGGTCGCACAGCATCATTGGTTGCTAGGACACAGGCAGACCAACAGCATCACGGGTTGTTACAGTGTGCCAATCTGCGTTCTAGCAACCAATCACGCTAGTGATCTGGAGACCCCGTGATCAAACTGAGTCCTTGGTGAAAGCAGGAGAGTTGCCAGTTATCATGATAATTAAGTTGTTCTTTATCAGGATAATGATTTTTATTTCAATGAACTCATAAGTCAGGATGGTAACACGTCTCATAACTTTTTGAGTTAAACTCAGACAAAAGATATGCCCTTAAAATAAAATTCCAGACCATTTTTTTAAGTTAGAACCTCTGTATTGTACTGTATTACTATCTGGATCCTGGTGGGAAGGATTTTTCTTACTTTCTGACCGAGTGATAGTGGTCACCAACAAGAGAGTGAGGGGAAATTTCTCCAACAACAGAGAACAATAAGAACACTTAAGGCCGTGACACACTGTACGCGAAGCCGTGCAGAGCGAAGCAAAGCTATCCGGCACGGAGCTTTGCGTGCAGTGTGTGAGCTGAGTGCAGTCAGATGATTGACCTTCAGCCAATCGGCTCGTCCGTAACAACCTGCCAGCTGTCGCATCGCAACGCGCTGGTTTATACGCGCGAGCCGATTGGCTGAAGTTGAAATTGTTCATCTCGGCACGCTCAGCTCCGCGAGCTCTCGCAAGATGAGGTGCCGAGCAGAAAATTACATGACACACTGCTCGCAAAGGCAGCGCGCCCCCGCTCCGCGCTGCTTCGCGTGCAGTGTGTCACGGCCTTTACTTAGTAGAGTGAAGAAGCATTATTGTTAACTGCTATCTGTAATCACCAAGACAGAACATGAGAAGAAATCTCCCCAGTGGACACAGGAGACAGGTGGGTCTGCCTCTGAGTCTTATCCAAGATGGGTCTGGACTGGCGTCTCATCCTAAGTGGGTCTGCCCCTAGGGTTTTATACTAGGTAGGTCTGTTCAGGGGTCTTATCATAGGGGGGTCTGACCTGGAGTCTTATCTGAGGTGGGACTGCCCCAGGAACGTATGTTAGGTGGACTACCCTCGGGTTCTCTCCTAGGTGGGTCTAATCTAGAATCTTATACTAGGTTGGTCTGCCCCATGATCTCATGCTAAGTGGGTCTGCCCCTTGGATCTAATACCAGGTGGGTTGGCTCCAGGATCTAATGATAGGTGGGTCTGCCCATAGTCTTATCCTTGCTAAAACTCACCCAGGGTCTTTTACTAGATGGGTCTGTGCGAGAGCTTATGCTAGATGGGTCTGCTCAATGATGTTATACTGTATGGGTCCACTTGATTACTGAGTGGTTGGGAGGGGTTATTGGTCCTTGATTATCATCTATACACTTTTCCAAGTAAATGAATCCCTTTGTGCTTGGTGAAGGGTAGTTATCTATTATAAGTACACATACAGTGACGGTTATATAGATTGTGGTTTGTTTAACAAATGCAGAGATCAATATAAAATAATTATTGCTCACAAGGAAGTTACCCTGAAAAACAAACATTAAACAGAATTTCCACTCACTATCTCATCATGTGTTAAATAATTATTTCCGGAGCCTCTGTCATTTGTTATTTCTTTTTATTGAATTTTAGATATTAGTACATGAAATGACTCCTGCAATATCAAAAACATCAATTTTACTATCTGCGCAAAATTAATTTACTAAGAAAAATAGAAAATGAGCTGCTTTCATTAACGTGTACTAAACATTAATGATATCATTTTAACTTGTTTACGTGAAAAAGTTAAAATGAAGGGCAGCGGGGGATTCGTCACTGTATAGGCTTCTTTTTATAAAGCTGAACTAACCCTTTAAAACTCAACTAAACCTTAAAAGAGAACTACAGGGTAAATCTTTTCCCCCATAGTTCTCTTAAGGGTCATGGGAGGACATATACTAACCTCCTCCTGTGACCTAAAGCTCAGTAAATCGCGAGCTATAGCTCACGGCATACTGAGGCTGCCGCAGCCGGGACGGATCCCGACAATGCTGCTGAGATCCACCCAGCTTGCGTGAGTGACAGCGGGCTCTGCCTATCTAGAGACAGAGCCAGCTGTTCCCGCCCCCTCCACGTCCCTTCCACCAGTCAGCGCTGGAGGATCGGAGCGGGGAAATCCCTGCGGTGACTGACAGTCACCGCTCTCTGCAGGGAGATGATCGAGCGATGGTATGCGTTAGCTCACTTCCCGATATATTGAGCCGACGTGCGACAGTTTCATTGTCACAGATCGGCTCGAACTATGAGGTTGAGTGATTTCCACTCACCTCATAGTTCTCCTTTAAGTTTAAGTCAGCAAAATACATTGCAGGCGCATCAAAATGATGTGCTACAAGACGTAGCACATCATTTTGATGCGCCTGCAATGTATTTTAGGCCTCATTCACAAGGTTTAATTTTGCAGCAGGGGATTTCTGTGGCAAGTACCCGTGGATTCTTGTGGCAGAAAGCCCAGTTGTGCCCGTTTAGATGCGGACGATGTCCCTGTACAAGTGAATGATGATTACCTGTGGATCGGGAAAGATGTCTTTCCCTGGACGCATTTATCCTGTGTCCAGGGACAATCATCCATCCCGTACTGCCGGTAATCATACCATATAAGATTACTTGTGGACAGCCGCTGACAGTTGCAGACTCTGTCACCCTATCATTCACTTAAATGGGCACAGCGGCCACATCTGGGAAATGGGCACACTTGGGTTTCCAGCTGCATGAATCCGTTCTTGCCACAGGAATCCCCAGCCATAGTATTAAAGGGTTATTAACCCCTCTGGGGTTTTTTTGCATATATCTACTGCTAACAAGCAGTAGATATATGCAAAAATTTTTTTTTTTTTTTTAAGTTTTAAAAGAGGTTAAAACTTACCTGTGTCTTCGCCGCGTGCTCCCGTCCGAAAATCAGAAAAATCTCGGGCGGCCGCAAATGATCTTGGGGAGGGCGCATGCGCAGTTCACATTTTCGGACGGTAGACTAGGAGAGACACAAGGTAAGTCTATGGACAGCGTGCACCCGCATGCAGACACCGTGGGACAGGAAGTGTCAGCAAGAACAGAGAAGTCAGCTCTGGATCGGGGACCCGCCGCAGCGCTGGAGAGAAGGCTGAAAACGACAAGTAAGAAGAAGATCGGATTAAGAAACATCATTTAAGGTAAGTTACTTTAAACATTGTGAATGGGGCCTAATACTATGCACATCATTTTGATGCACCTGCAATGTATTTAGCTGATTTAAGCAGAACATTCTGTTGAGTTTTAGAGGGTTAGTTCACCCTTATAAAAAGAAGCCTATTCCGTTATGGAGCCCCAGTAGGTAACAATCAACTGAGCAGATTATAATTTAGAAAGCAGCCACCCCTGCAGAGGTCTGACACTGCCTCTGCTGAGTCAGACTTATAGATCTGTTGGGTATGTGTTTAAATGAAGCACTGATATCTTGGGGAATGCTGAAGTAAGTTTTACTTGCTTAGAAGAACCTTACATGTATGTATAGAATGTCCTGTGTATCATAGATAAGCATGTACATAAAGACTAACATTGTACTACAGCGCCATCTACAGCTCAAAAAAACAAAGTTCATCAGAATATGCAGTTGTATTTCCAACACAAACAACATGGCTCTGACTCAGCATTGTGTGTGTCAGAACTCTGCAGAGAGACCATGCTTCTGCACAGATTTCAAGAATCCTTCTCTGACAAGGGACAGGCTTTTTAACTTTATCATCTTTTGTTTTTATGTATCTGGAATGTATTCCTGTAGCTGATTTAAGCTAAAAGTTTAATT